TTCATCATTATCTTCAGTGAAGTTTTTTATGGTGGTCTGGCTTAAATCGACTAATGTATTTAACTATTAAATTACTATAATTTCCATAAACTTCCATTCTGATCATAATCATCTTGCGCTCACTAGTGACTGGATTCAAGAGGTATTTCTTGGAGTTCTAGTGAGAAGTCGTGAACAGTGGAATTCAACCGTGTCTATTGTCAGGCAGTTACTCATTAAAGACTATGGTTAATGATCGTCAGTTTCGTGGATTGGTTGAAGTTTGACATTTACACAGTTGGATATTGAATCAGTGATCTAGATGTTAAGCATTCGCGCACAAGACGGAATGTCTTTTATTCGAGTCCCACATGCGAGGTCGTGTATGCAGACTGCTCAAGAGTCTTATACTAGAACGAGACGGCCGTCGAGTGCTTTCAGGTTTGCCATGATGGTCTAGCTTTAATCGACACGTGAATTCGACTGTTAAATTAAATATTTATTTGACTTCAAACACGAAAAACAAAACAGCAAAATGATAGACATTAACACCGTTGGATACCGACGCAGTGGTCTAATGGTTAAGCGCTCGCGCGCGAGACTGATAGGTCCTAGGTTCGAATCTCGTGAGGCGGGATCGTGGATGTGCACTGCTGAGGCGTCCCACAATAGGACGAAACGGCCGTCCAGTGCTTCGAGGTTTTCCACGGTGGTCTAGCTTCAAATGACTCATAATCTCAACTATATAGAATTATTTATTTAAAAAACTATGTGAAAACAATTGTTTCTTAAAAAAACAAAATTTTGTTATGCATGTGTAGGCTTTATAAGTTAGATTATTTAATCAAGATGTTTTCACTGTGGATTTCCAAAAAAGGGTTTATCGATTCATGGAAAGTTTAGTGAGGTATTTATTGTGATAAATTCATCAGGATATGATTATGCATAATCAGTTTGAGTATATAAATTTTTTTGTAGACTAATAATTTACTACGGTAATACGATTTGTTTGAACGAATTCGTTTTCAAAATCGTATATAAATATACATTGTCCAAATAAACTGTCTACTTCCTATAAGTGGTATTCATCACAGACGATACTTAGGGGCAGGGGTCTTTCATCATAATATGCAACTCTACAATGTCTCCATGAACTGAACTCAAGAACATTAGGCTTCATGATTTGCAATTTGGCACCATACAAATTGTCTAGCACTCAAGGGCACACACTTTCAACTTCAATGAATGCACAAATAGCATCTAAGTAGTCAAAAAATCTTGATGGAATCACTCAATAGAAATCGCATTATTGTTACAATGTTCAATCTGACGTGAAGACTATAACAATATGTTTTTTTTGCGGATATAACTCTGGTTTCACGTAGTTGATGCTTGAATATTCTCCAATCGAGGTAAAGTTATTTTTGGTATGAACTTCCAGAAATCTATAACTATGTCTGAAAAATGATTTCAAGAGAAAATTGTATGTTATAAACCTGCTGTATGTTTAAAAATAAAGGATGTAACTGATCCGGAATGTCATGTGCTAAGGTACATTGTGATGCGTTTTCGTTCGCTAAAAAGAAAAAGTCTCGTTGAACAGATTGTGCCAGGTTTTAAATAGATATTAGTTGTTTATGATATGTCTTGGACATCTCTAACTGTCACTTACTGACGAGTACAGCGGTGATAAGAAGTTATGAGGTGACCGAAAAATGTTCAGATATCAGTTCATGAAGCTACTAACTATCGATGTGATTCATATCGATAGGTATATGTTCCTTGAAGTAAATTCAATAGTCATAATACATGATGCGGATGGCATAACTTACACTCGACCACCTCGATAATGGTGCGATCATAGTTTATCTTCCTATAAATTTGGACCCTAATGTTTATTAATGCTTTACATCCCCATACTTTATTATTCACTCATATATTCACCTTCCCATTGGAGTGGATATTATTCTTTCTAATATTCTGACAAACATATGATTATTCCCTTTGTGGTAATGGGCTGGTTTAAACTGATAAACATACCCCCTAGGTACTACAACGTCTATGATTAACTAAATTAACTAGTCATTTATTTTACTATGTTAACATCTGTTCACTTAATGGTTCAAAATTAGTTCCATGAGGAAAATTTGCAGTTTGGTTAACCTAGTCACTTTTATTAAGTGAGTTGTCCGGATGTAACAAAGGGTCGATTTAATTATGCCGGTAAACAATTAATATGGTCAATCGAAATAGGAAGTGAGTACTAGTGATGCTCTGAAAATGATTCTGTATTTTGTTTGAACCTTTCTAATGAAACCAGATAATTACGGCTAGTAAGATAAACCGATTAAATAGAAATGTTTCTCAGTATTCGTTTTCATACAAATTTATCTAGTTGTCATATAATTTTTGCCTGATTTCATATGAAAATTATAAAACTAAAGTTATTTAAAAGTGGAATAGTTATAAGCAAAGATGGATAAAGGCTAGCTAAGTGGATAACGTGATGGCATTTGAAATGAACGGTACTGGGTTTGAGTCCCAGAGTGGACATCAACTCTGAGATGGAGGTACATCCAGCTGATGAGTCACACATAGAACGAAATGCGCTTCCTGGACTACACTGATAGACACTATCCATCTTTGCTTACAAAGCTTGTGACTTCAGGTAATATCGAGGCAGTCCGCACAGGATGCACATATGCCAACAAGAGACTGATCAATTGCAGTCCTAAATAACAATGGGAAGGTACAAGTAAACAACACCCAATGGAATAGCTATATTTGTCAAAACATTATTGTATTCTTTATTGGCTAATGTTATAGTAACTAGGAGTACTCATCAAGGTTGCTTAAGTTTTACTATCTACTAATTTTTTGTGGAATATTAAATGATATAATAGGTGGTTTGTAACTATTGATTGGGTTCTTCGCCTGGTCAAAATCATCGTCAATATATTCACTACCTGAGTCTTGTCGGTCTACTTATGAGCTGTAGTACTGTTTATCAGAGCATGATACAAGGTAATCGGTTTGACTATTTTTGAATATGCTGCAAATGATCAGGCGATCACGATTATCGTAAACTTATAAATCATTCTACGCTATGCGTAATTTATTTATTTTCACTATGAAGTAAGCTTTTCATTTTATTAGTTTCTTGATGTTTTCTTTAAATATGGAATTTTCAATCTAATCCCAATGGAATCGTTAGTTTTAATTTACGAAACAATGACTGAATAATTAGTCTGTTTTCTTTGTCCTTTAACCCATTTCTAGACACAAAGACAATATGATTAACTAGATAATGATGATGGTAGTTTTCCCAAACCAGGGGTATTAGTAGACACTTTTACCATGTATAATATAGAATCAAGTAAGATAAACGACCATGACAATGACAGGAAACAAAATGATTCTTATCTAAGAAAATGTAGTTTTCCGTGAAAATCAAGATATATATCGCTGATGAATTTGAGATTCATTAATTATCTTTTCGGTTATAACTTTTATCATTTAACAGTCAATATTCACTTGGTTGACAACTGAATTTATTACATGACATGGATTGAACACTGAGTTGTAGTTGTTGTCATATTTGTCTAGTCTTTAGTGCTGATCGTATTCCGTCGATCTAGTTGTCATTTGACGACTAGATTAAGCGACCATATTCTTTTTAAATCAGAATTGTTCCTTAATGATGAGTTCTAAGTTGAATGATATGGAACATATTATGCTTTATTGAGTCATTTAGAACAGTTGTCTGTTTATCACTTGATCCGTAGAATTAAATAATAAGTAAAAACTAAACAAATATGGAATTATCAGAAGGGGTCTATCGGTTAAAGGCTTCGACTCGAAACTGGTAGGTCCTGGGTTCGAATCCCGCGAGAGTGGGTTCGTGGACGCGCACTGCTGAGGAGTCCCATAATAGGACGAAACGGCCGTCCAGTGCTTCCAGGTTTTCCATGGTAGTCTAGCTTCAATTGACTCATGATCTCAACTCTATAAAAATATGGAATTGTTTAATACTGAAGGATCAATCAATACAAATATGTTAGTCTTATTAAATATTGACGGCTGCCAGAACAGCCCAATAGTAATATGAAAAAGTTTGACACTAGGTGATGCGAGTATGAATCCCGTAGTGTACTAGTACACTCAACAGTGAAGATACCCCTACAACAGAACCATCAAATTCTTCCACCTTACTTACTTACGTCTGTGACCCCTCGTGGAGGAGCGTAGGCCGCCCACCAGAATTATCCATCCAACTCTGTCTTGGATAATTCTTTGCACTTGTTTCCAGTTTCTAAGTTTAATTTGCTTATTCTGGTTAGCGTTGTTTTTAGCAAGGTTGTTTTCTATGGGATGAGGTTTCTGACCCTTAGCCCAACCCTCCTCCTTTACCCTAGTTTCGGACCAGCAGTAATCCTAGAAGAGCTACAGATGGAGTTGTTTACCTACTCAAAAAAAGAAATCTAGACAAAATTGATCTAATCATAAGTAAACTAATGTATCTATTGTACTCAAAATTACTATTTCAACTTTCATGTGTGTATGTTTGTATATGCTCATATCGTTGTTTTCATCAATTAAACACCATTGGATGCCGGCCGGCTCAGTGATCTATCGGTTATGTGCTCTGGCGCAAGACTGTTAGGTCCTAGGTTCGAATCTCGCGAGGCAAAGTTGTGGATGCGCACAGCCACTCAGGAGTCCCACAATAGGACGAAACGGCCGTTCAGTGCTTCATAACTTTTTTCCTTCCTATACTATATCCTTATATACAACCTTCCTTTATATACTACAACCACTAAATTAATTACTTCTATGAATCCGGTGTTCATCTTGTTGTGCTAACGAGGTATGGCAACTTGGACCAATGCATATATGTGCCTGGTCCTACGTTGTCGCTGACTGACTGACTGACTCAGTGCTTCCAGGTTTTCCATGGTGGTCTAGCTTCAATTGACTCATTCTTTCAACTATGAAAATAAAAGGAGAGTTAAATAAAATTTATAAATATGCACAAATTATATTCGTAATTAGTATAAGTTTTATTGTTATGATTATATACAACAAAGACTGTCTTATCACTTTCACTAGTGCAAGTAACTAACCAGTCCAGTGAAAAAATTCTTCCATTTAAGATTCAGTATTAATTCAATGAGAAACAAATGAAAAATTAGAAGATAGTAAAACATGATATTTTCGAGAGCCAAACAAGAATGAAAAGAGGTGATTAGATAAGATGAAGTGACGTAAACACTTGTGAAAAAAGATAAACTAGAAAAAATGAAGAATCAAGGGAAGTATTACAAGTAGATTTCGATAAGAAAAAATAAAGTAATTTAAAGAAAGAAGATAAACTCCCTTTGGTAGACTATTTATATATTGATTCACTGAATTAGGATTAAATAATAGATCATAAAGAATAAGATATTGGTAACTATGGTATACTCATCCGTCTAGATCTTTAATGTGTATAAGGTTTTATATGTATATTGATGTGTGTGTGTGTAGTTTATAGAATCTGTTAGAAGTACTAATTTCTGATCAAATAAGCAAATAATTGACAGAATATACAGTAGAAACATTGAATAACAGGATAAGTGAACAAGATAAAATGGTTTCCATGTTTCCAGATGTATTTTTTGAAAGATATTCAAAAGGAAAACAGAAAGAAAAAAACATTATCAATATTGAATTTTATTTAAGAAGAAATAGGTGAATAAAAAGCTATAACATTTAATCACATGGTCCCAGTTTAATATGGGCACAGAGGGGGGGGGGAGGGAGAGGGATGAGCGATTAGGGGATGTATGAAAAAATAAAAGCAGGATAAATTAGCTCATTGCATACTATTGTTCTTTTTTGTCCATAAAACAATGAGTTTTTCATTGTATTGATAATTAATTAGCCGCAGCAGTATGAGAATGATTGGTAATAGTAATAGCAGTTAATATAAGTAACATATTCACATAAGTAGTATAGTAATTAAAAATGCGTGTTTTTTTTTCAAGTGTCTATTTATGAAAAGAAAGACCTGATGATATGTGGTCATACTAAATAATGTAAAAGATCAACCAAATAAATTGTGGCTCAAATACACAATGGATTCAGTAATTAAATGGAGTAGTTAAGTATGCCAAGAAAGCTTGATGCAAAAAAAAATCGTATCCGTTAGTAAAAAAAACCAAAAAAAGGAGGAGGAAAAATCTGAAGAGAATATGAAAAAACAAAAACAATTCAAAGTTATATCATTTTTTATTTTATTCTGATTCACTGAGTAGACTAGATCGATTCCCTAAACCTGTTGACATCGGCAGTGTACCTTGATTAATTTCAATTGTTCTAGGTACATCATATACATGACTACCTGTAATAGAATATGGTGATCCTGGCGCTATAAGCCAATTTCTTATATTTGGCTGTGTATTCCCTAAAAATGGTGATAATCCAATTGTAGTTGTATCATTATTTAAAAAATTTCTTAATTTATTTTGTTGTATTAATGGTGTTGATGTTAATAATGCTAAACTTTGTTGTAAATCATCATTTGTACCTGAACCAGATGATGATGCTAAATGAAATGGTAATGATGATGATGGTGGTGGTGATGGTAATGGTAATGATGGTATCCCATTACCAGTACATGTAACTGTTAAATATTGATTTGTAAGATTTGGATATTGATTCATTTGTGGTGAAAAATTATTATTAATATTACTACTACTATTATTAGTAGTAGTATTAGTATTAGTAATAGTAGTATTAGTATTAGTAATGGTAGTATTCTGATTATTTAATGTTGATAATATCATTTGTGAATAAGGATTTATATGCGTTCTTATCAGGTTATATCCATTTGTTTTATTATAATCATTAAATTTCAGTGGTATATTATAATTATTATGTTCAATCATATTTGTATCATTACTATTATTATTACTATTATTATTATTACTATTACTATTATTATGTAATAGTTTTACTGGTTGGTATATTGATTTAGTATCATTAATACCATGGCAACTAGATGAAAAATGAAATAATTTATAATGTCTACATAAACGTAAACATTTAGCACTAATTAATAAAAATATTAATGTAGTTAAAAATGTACTAATTACAGCAATAGACATTTCTAATAATGTAAATTGTTTTTGATAAAAATAATAATGAGATTGATCAAATAAAATTTCATTACGTAATAATAAATCGTCAGATTGTTTAATGTAATAATTACGATTATTATTATTATTATTATTATTATTATTAAGATTATTATGGTTGGTTACATCATGTTCTGTTGCTAAGGTATTATTGATTTTTGATAAATGAATCATTTCTGGTCCTTTTAATGTAACTATTACTTCTTCTGTTTCTTTTTTATCATCCCATGTAGTACATGTATATTTATGTGGTTTTATATCTAATGTTATATTTAATTGAACAGTTGATGATGGTGGTTCTATACTTGAATTATTATTATTATTATTGTTTGAAGTTAAATATCTTACTTCACGTAATTGTCCATCTTCAATATAACGCCATGCTACACCTGGTGGTGTATGACTTAATATACTATTCGATGTAATCATATTCTTTATATTATGTAATGGAGTATTAGTTCGTTTTGGTACTGTAACTGCTGTACATGATATTAATGCACGATTAGGATCATCTAATATATTAATAAAAATTTGTTGTATACGTGATGTTGGACATAATTGATCTGGAGTTAATTTAACTAATTCATAAATATGTTTAACTTGTATTGAATTCTCTGCTGTTGTAGTTATATGAATACATGTCATATTTAATCCAGGTAAACTATCTTTCCAATCTAAACTACGTTGTACAATCCATGCTAAATGACAATTACATTCTAATGGATTCCCTGTTAAATCAAGTAATTTATTAGGATAATTAAAATATCTTTCAAATCCATTATCAATATGTATAATACGATTATCCGATAAAATTAATCGATCTAAATTAGGTACTTTGCCAAATATTTCATAACTGATTGATTGTATACGATTACCTCTTAAATTAATTTGATTTGCTAATAAACCATGAAATGATTCTTCAGTTATTATCATACCTTCTATAGGTAATGAATGTTGTTCACGTAAATATAAACTATTCAATTGTAAACCATAAAATGTATATGCATCAATACGTATTAATGCATTATGTGATAAATCTAAATGTTTTAATTCAATCATTCTCATAAATGTACGTGATTCAATGACTTGTAAATTACAATAGATAATACGTAAATATTCTAATTTTTCTAAACCAGTCATATTAGCTTGATTAATATAATTTGGTATTGGAAAATTACTTTGTTGTATAAATAATTTTGTAATACCATTTGGTATATTTGTTGGTACACCTTGTATATGATCTTGTCTATCACAATGTACTACATTTTCATCTTTTGGACAATGACATTGTGTTTCACATAAACCTGGTTGAATATATTGAGCATTAAGATGATTAATGATAATCAATAAAATGATATAATCAATAATGATCATAGAAATTTGGTAATAAGTTAAGAAATGGAATTGTTTATATAGGGGAAACATTTTGATATATCACCACCACCGCCACCACCACCCCCTTCGCTATTAAAAATCGATAATTAATTTTAATCAATTTGTGTAAAATATATTTTTATTGAAATTTTTCTTGTTTCTTATTAAATTCCTTGTTTAAATATTGTACAATTGATAGAGGATATTCTGAAATTAAAAAATTTAAAAAAAAGAATATATTACATTGAAACATGGCTTTATGTTTATAAGGAAAACAACATTAAAAACTTTAGATTGATATCATGAATGGAAGAGTGTTAGAACACTATTGGAAACTTAGAAGCATTGGACGTCGGTCTCATGTTAGTATGAAGTTGATTAAATTAAGACGTCAATGATCTAGAGGTTAAGCATTCACATACGAGACCGAAGGCCTTGGGTTTGAGTCTCGTGTTCGAGATCGTGGACGCTTACTACTAAGGAGTCCCATAGTGGGATGAAACGACCGTTCAGTGCTTCCAGGTTTTCAATGGTGTTGTAAGATTGTTTCATTCATGATATTAAATCTAAACTCAGTACGTTTATAGATGAAACTATCAATAAGGGAAAACAACATCATATGCTCACTAGTGATTGACTTCAAGAGATATTTCTTGGAGTTCTAGTAAGAAACAGTGTCCAGTGAAGTATAACCAGGTATGTTGTGAGATATCAAATCACTGAAGACATTTGGTGAATGATTGGTCAATTTCGTGGATTGGTTGAAGTTAGACATTAACACCGTTGGATGCCGGTCAGATAGATGGTCTAGAGGTTAAGCGCTCTGGCGCGAGACTGGTAGGTCCTGGGTTCGAATCTCGTGAGACGGGATCATTGATGCTCACTGCTGAGAAGTCCCACAATAGGACGAGACGGCCGTCCAATGCTTCGAGGTTTTCCCTGGTGGTCTAGCTTCAATTGACTCACGCTTTCAACTATGAAAATACTAAATATCCACAAAACCCCTTCTAACATATCTATCCGATTACGGATATATACACTACCGTTACGTTTTTAATGACGATGAAAAGTACTCAATGTAGGTTACTTATCATTATTTTAATTTTTAAAAAAAAATGCTGACTGTCATGTATTTTGAATCAATAAGAAAGATACCTACTGCATAATTAAAGTGAGTAGAACTATTATAAAGAATAAATAGTAAATAGCAAGTACATCCATGGTATATAAATGAATCATTCCATAGATTGTTTTTCCCCAATATGATTATAAAAAGTGATAAAAATACTACCAATAATAATACAGAACAAGAAGAAGTCTACTACAACAGGAATTGTATCATGCTAACTAGATAGAGACATAGATACTGAAGAAAATTTATTTTAATGATATTATTTTTAGTCGGCATATATTAGTAATTTTGCACTAGTACACGTACCAAATGTACGATATATACAACATTGTGCATTGTATGTGTATGTATGTATGTGTGTGTACGTGGATGTGGGCGTGTACATTAAACCATTTCATGTTTCTTTGTTTTTACAGAAATTTAAACTGTAAGCCTCTACTACTTAAGTAAATCTGTCAATCATATATATATAAGCAACATTCCAATGAGATGAGAAAATTTGATAATAACATGTGTATTATATTCATGAATAGAGACTGGTATTGAAAAGTTTCCATGTAGATTTTTCTAACGGTTAGTTTGTTTTTTTTTTGTTTTTTTTTAAAGGGAAAGGACAAAATATCGACTAAATGAAAATAGTGAAAAAAATACAAAATTTTCCAAAGCACTATTACTTTGTTCTATACGGAGTATTACAGTACTATTCTTCTATAATTAAGTTTAGTATATGAATTGATTTACGATAAATGTTAGAAGGGGTATTATGGATATGAGAGTAATTTTAATAGTTGAGATCATGAGTAAATTGAAGCTAGATGACCATAGAAAACCTGGAAGTACTGGACGGCCGTTTAGTCCTATAATGGGACTCCTCGGCACGACTTCGCCCCTCGAGATTCGAACCCAGAACCTATCAGTTTTGCGCGCAATTGCTTAACCTCTAGACCACTGAGCTGACCAGCATCCAACGGTGTTAATGTCAATATAAGACAAATTATCGAAGTTATAAATCTTTATTAAACAGATATTAGATTAAAGTTTCGCAAACTTTATATTTTTGCTAAGAATCTGAAGGGAAGTGTAAGTTAGCATTAATTCGTTTTCAATAGGAACTGATAGTAACCAGTAAACTACTGGAAACCAGGATACACCGGACAATTCATTCGCCAAATTGATAAAAGAAATTATTTTCAAATTTTCAAAATCTCTATTTAAACAAACAAATTAGTGTTTAATAATCTTATTTGAACAGATAACTTCGAAGTCACTCACGTAGAACGGGCTAATATTTATTTATGACAATGGATGGTTATTGAATATTGACATAGTTACTGAATAATGTTTTATTTACTGAGAGATCTAAAGAACCTAAGTTCGTTTCCATGTACAAATAGTTCTAAGTAATTTACATAGTTGGAAGCATGAGTCAATTGAAGGTAGATCACCTTGGAAAACTTGGAAGCATTGGATGTCTGTTTCGTTCTATTGTGGGATTCCTCAGCACTGCGCATCCACGATCCCGCCTCTCGAGATTCGAACTCAGGACCTATCAATCTCGCAAGCGAGCGCTTTACCTCTAGATGGCGGGATCGTGGATACGCACTGCTGGGGAGTCCCACAATAAGACAAAACGGCCATCCAGTGCATCCAGGTTTCTATGGTAGTCTAGCTTCAATTGACTCATCATTCCAACTATTGAAAACAACAGAATTCTGTTTGCTTGAAAAAGAAAAGACTATTTTGAAACTCTAATCTCATGAATTATTTTTATTTATTTCAATCACGTAAAGTAGATCAATGAAAAGAATGAATAGATAAACATCTACTTATTTATTCAATAAAACAGGTGAGAAAATAAACAAGTTCTTATTTGATTCAACATTATATCACTCTCAGAAGATTTAGTCATTTACCAAGCATAAATTTAATAAATGATTGTAGGGAATATTTGTTTGTTTGTTTTTATATAGAGAGTATTGTTATTTGAATCTGTTTTTATAAATAACTGAATTGATCTAAGTCGATCTAAGTTAGACTACTATTGAAAACTTGGAAACATTGAAACACCGTTTCGTCCAGCTTTTCAACGGTGGTCTAGCTTAGATTGACTCATTGACTCAACTATTAAAATTATCATAACTGAAAGCGTGAGTCAATTGAAGCTAGACCACCAGGGAAAATCTGGAAGCACTGGATGTTGTGAGATAGGAACTCACTGAAGACAATTGGTAAACGGTTGCTCAACTTCGTGGATTGGTTGGAGTTAGACATAAACACCATCGAATGCCGACTCAGTAGTCTGTCGTTTAGTGCTGGCGCGTGAAACTGATAGGTCCTGGGTTCGAATCTGGCGAGGTGAGGTCGTGGATGCACACTGCCACTGAGGAGTCCCACAATAGGACGAAACGGCTGTCCAGTGCTTCCAGGTTTTCTATGGTGGTCTAGCTTCAATTGACTCATGATCTCAACTATTATTATTATTATTATCGTTGTCTACTTTTAGCCCCCATTTCCAGTCTAGTTGACCTTTTATTTTTATATATAAATGTTCTTAGCAAGTATATTATGTGTGATCAGATTGTTTGAAGTGCATTACGCTAATATATCATATAGTTCTTCTGATAATCTTCGTCTTCTTATTACATTATCGAAATTTATCAAAGGGACTAATTGCTTTAAATCACATGAGTTTGATTTCAATAGATTCGTGAAAAATCTAAGTTTCCAGACAATTTCTTCCTAATAATCTCATTCCAACAATTGCTCGGTACTTTATTATTTTCGAATCTCGCGAGTGCGGGATAGTGGATGCGCACTGCCACTGAGGAGTCCCATGATACGACGAAACGGTCATCCAGTGCTTAAAGGTTTTCCATGGTGATCTAGCTTTAATTGACTCATAATTTCAACTATTTTAATTTTTGGTTGACATCAGTTTGTCATGGAAAATACTATGTAAGCATTTCTATGTAATAGATTTGTTTATTTTGATTGATTAGATAAAGAATGCATATCGGTTTCTACTAATAGGCATTAAGAAATATACACTATGTAAAATAACCAGATTCAAGGAAAAATCATTTCTATCAATGGATCTACTGAAAGAAAAAAAAACAATAATCATCTATGTTGTTACTATTTGTTGAATAATTTGGTATTAGAAAGCATACTTAACCTTGTCAATATAAATAATCTTTACAACATAGGAATCTGTAATAGAAGAAGCATAGAAGGAATTGTTCACTTAATGATTGATGGGTTAAAACTCAATATTCACATAATAATAATGATAATGATCCTTGATTATGTACATACAAACACATTTCCTTTTGTCAAAGTATACTCATCAAGTGTAAGTGTACTCTTAAAAAATAAACAACCAATTAAAGTGTAAAAAGCTAAACACAATAGGATTATTTACTTAGTATTGTTTGTTTGGATCTTCCCATTGATGTTTTTAGGACTGCAACTGGTCAGTCTCTAATTGGCATAGGATTATTTTTCCATGTATTAAATAAACTGAGTAAAAACCAGAAGTAAATAATGGATTTATGGACTTTTATGAATAAAAAAGAACCCAAGAAATGTTTCACCATAGCGACTAACCTTAACTGGAGATTGTTCGACAAATATAGAGAATGAAATAGTTAACTTGTCATAGTTTGATACTTGTCAACATTTTCGCATAATCTGATGTAAAATTAAACGTCAAATCTTTCAGTTCTCGGGTTTCTAGCAAAACTTTAATCACTTAATACATTATTATCAGTTAGTTAACAGTAGTGAATTTCATAACACTAGACAGTTATTGCACATAAGTATAGGATTATTAAATATCCAATACGACATTATCATAAATTGAATCCAGATTGAACAAATGTGTGGCGAGGGCTACTTATAGTATTTGGTGATGGTCGGACATAGAATGTATTTT